AAGTTCACTGTTTAATGTGAAGAAGGTATAACATTAAGTGAAAATCTTGCCTTTAGACTAACATTGTTAAATAAATAAATTTTTATTTTCTTTTGTTTATATTTTCCTCAAAATGCTTAGAAAAAGGCTATGTTATCATTCCATACTTCTACACCAGCAGCTTGTAAGCATCTCTGGAAATGTGGTGTGGAGAATCAGGCATTTTACAAGTAAGCAGAATTATTCCTATCATCCAATAGTATAAATTCATTTCAGTAATATAATACAAATGTGTAGATGAGCAAAGAATATCAAGTTAAATCCGCATGTTATAAAGAGAAAATGGCCTTTGATTTATCTGCAGATTATATATTGAAAGTTCTAATATGAAATTAATGTTAAAGAACTGAGTAGTTTTTGAAGTAGGTAATTATGACGAATACTTTTGAATAATCCAAATTACAAGATTAATGATATTATACTGAGAATGATAAACAATATAGACATAGAGAAATAGAGTATATAGGTATGTCTGTCTGTTGGTAGACTTTCTTTCTTGAAAATGTAATTACTTTTACTCTCTGTTTCTTCCTCTGAAGGTATGCAAAATCAAGCCAAATCAAAACCATGTCCAGCAGCAAAATATTTTTTAAAGGCAGCAGATTTAGATACAGGTAAATATTATTTTTATTCCAACAGGAAGGAATTATACAGATTGGATTGGATGATTGATAGATAGATAGATAGATAGATAGATAGATAGATAGATAGATAGATAGATAGGCAGGCAGGCAGGCAGGCAGGCAGGCAGGCAGGCAGGCAGGCAGACAGGCAGACAGACAGACAGACAGACAGACATAAATTCAATAAAAACTCGTTCCTTAAGATTGCAAGCTTACATACAATGTAAACCTCAATGAAAGTGGTAGGTCTATGTGTACAAATATAAATGCTTTATAATTTTAGCCTATGAAAAGGTCCAGACTGTTTTTTTAAGTACTTGCTTTTGATTATATTAACATTTTCGTAAACTGCTCTGGAAATATAAAAATAAATACATATGGAGATTATATGGGCCATCCTATTCACATGGACTTGAAAATAAGCACCAATGATTATAATGGGAATTTATGTGTGATTAAATATATCTAGAATTATGCATATGAAATATCTATGAATAGATAAAAACAGGTGGTGTTTGGTAGACAGTACATTAGACACCTTATTGCTATCAATTTGAGCAGAATTGTTCTTGTAAATTGGGACTGAATGAGCTGTGGTCCAATATAAGCCCCAGCTCAATTTGTATATGAATTCAGATTCTCAAAATCACAATGTTATAATCAGATAGAAAACCACCAATTTTTTTCAGTATGATTTTTAAAAATATTTTTAAAAAAAGATGTGATAAAATGGATGTTTTGCCTCTCTTGGGCTTAATGATTTTTTCTGCCTTTAAAACTGTCTGATCAAACCGACGCACACATATAGAAGAAAAATTTCAGCATTAGCTCTCTGGTGATATCACTAAAAGGTTAGCTTAAATAAATAAATAAGTAAGTAAAGTAAATAACTGCAGCCCTTATTAGAAGGATGTTGCCATAATTAAAATGCCAGCTCTCTAAGGATATAGTTCCAACATTCCACAAAAATACTTTTTGAATATTCAACTGTTTCTAAAGACAAAGTCCCAAAGGTGCTTGTTCAAGAGGCAACTGGACTTCCTTGTTTTTCTTTGAAGACCTTTCACTTCTCATCCAAGAAGCTTCTTGAATGAGAAATGAAACATCTTTTGAAAAAGCACCTTTGGGACAACCATGACCTGGATGACTGAGAATCTCCATAGACATCTAAAGACAAAGGTTTACCATTGTCTGGTATCCTTTTTTTTTTTTTTTGCTTTAATTTATATGCCGCCCTTCTCCGGAGACTCAGGGCAGCTTACAATGAGTTAAGCAATAGCCTTCATACTTTTGTATATTTATACAAAGTCAGCTTATTGCCCCCACAATCTGGGGCCTTATTTTACCTACCTTTGAAAGGATGGAAGGCTGAGTCAACCTTGAGCCTGGTGAGATTTGAAGTTGCAGTAATTGCAAGCAGCAGATGTTAATAACAGTGCTTTAGTTCTTAATATATGAATTGCTTTAAGGATTTGGTTACCGCACAACAAATAATTTTTTTATCGTACAAAGTTTAGTTCTTAACATGTATATTTTGTGACAGTGGAAAAGTTGCAAAAGAAGTTGTTGAAGCAAGTTCAAAGATCCAGAGGGAGCCTCCAGAAGTGCACAGGTACTTTCTGATCTAAAACATTTAAAGAATCTTCTAACATTGACCTATATTACAAATTGAAAAGTTACATAACATACATTTAATTACTGTTCTCCCAGCAATAATACATTGCTATTGGCTTTTAATATGTAACAGGAGCTGAAGGATTTATAATCATTTACATTATAGGATTTTTTTTAGTGTTTCGCGACTTATTCCCTACAGTAAGGGGCAACCTTTTAATTCAAATCCCAATTCATCAGATCAGGAAAATCCAAATGTTCTCAAATCATTTTGGTATACAGGTAGTCCTCGACTTATGACCACAACTGAGCCCAAAATTTTTGTTCTTAAACAAGACAGTTGTTAAGTGAGTTTTGCCCCATTTTACAACATTTCTTGCCACAGTTGTTCAGTGAATCGCTGCAGTTGTTAAATTAGTAACATGGTTGTTAAGTGAATCTGTCTTCTCCATTGACTTTGCTTGTCAATTTGCTGATGATCACATAGCAATAGCACTTAGACTCTTATATACTGCTCCATAGTGTGTCATAGCACTCTCTGAGCGGTTTAAAATGTCAGCATATTGCCCCTAACAATCTGGGTCCCCATTTTACCAACTTTGGAAGGATGGAAGGCTAGGTCAACCTTGAGCCCATCAGATCAAACTCCAGACTATGAGCAAAGTTAGCCTGCAATAGTGCATTTTAACCACTGCGCCACCAGGGCTCTTTCCCTGGTTCAATGCCACTGTCATTAATATGAACCAATTGCTAAGCATCCAAATTTGGATCATTTGAATCATTAAAACTGCCCAGAATATCATCGGACTCCAACTACCAGCCCTGGACGACATCTTTGAATCTCGCTGTTTGAGAAAGTTGCATAACATTCTCAGAGACTTACAATCTTTTTGGACTGTTGCCTTCTGGCAGAAGATACGGAATAATTAAAACTCGGACCACATGTTTTCTGAATAGTTTTTATCCCAGAGCTATAATTGCACTCAACAATGAACTGAAGGGCCACCATCAGTGAACTGTTGGACAGTATTACTTGGTTTGTTGTGTGGATGGTTGGGTGGTTTAGAGGTGGAGAATTGTGGTGAGTGGGAGTGTGTTTGGGGATTGTTATGTGTGTTGGACTTGGTCTTTGGGTGTTAAATGAATTTTGTTGTATGGGTATACTGTGTATACACGTACAATGACAATAAAGTTATTATTATTATTATTAATAATAATAATAATTTTGATTATGTGACTATAGGGATGCTACAGCAGTTGTAAGTGTGAAAAATGATCATAAGTCTTTTACAGTGCCATTGTAACGTCAGTCACTAAATGAATGGTTGTAATTCAAGGACTGCTTGTAACAATTGCATATTTCTATTTCACTGATTCAGGTTTCACTAGGCATTGGCTACAAGACACAAAAGTAAATAACTTCAAACTGTCCTGCAACATGTTTTGTACAAATAAATATTAGCAAAAAGATTCTTTTTCTTTTTTTATATGCCACATAAGTATCTTCATGTATGTATTTACATACATACTTACAACCTACTGTAATTTATTATATAGTCAGTAGGATAATTTATCCCCTTTCTTCACAGAACCAACATTACTCAAAGTCGTAGCTCTTATTCTTTAAGCAAACAACTCATAATAAACATGGAACCTCTGCAACCTCTACATCCATCACCAGATGACCAGGAAGAGGTTCTTTCTGATGAAGGCAAGTCTAAGCTAAGAGGCTCCTTCTGTTTTTATTTTTATAAAGCACATCAATAAAGTTCAACAGCAGTCAATTGTTCAAAACACACCTATTGCATTTATATGTTTGAAAAGTTATTTTCATGTAACTAAGAAAATTGCTGGACAATTCGTTGATATGTTGCTTATGAAAATGCATCGGGGCAGTTTTAAATTATTGCAAAATATTATTTAGGTTATAGAATATTAGATCTTTAATGAAAAGAGTGGAAACTGATTCATCTTGATCATCAATTAGATTTTTCATTTAATAAATGGGGGCTCATTCTGAGACATCAATTTTTCACAACTTCTCATTGCCTGGAGTTGTTGATCTAAACTCAGTATCACCTAAGTCAGGGGTGTTAAACTCAAGGCCCACGGCCAAATCTGGCACTTGGGCTGCTTAAATCTGGCCCACAGGGCTGGCCTGTAAATATCAAAGGACCAGCCTGTGAGCTGCTGCCCCCATGGCCATCTGCAGCATTCTGCTGGCCAAAAACGGGCTGGGAGGGGTGCTGCAGGAGGTATCCGTCCCGTCTCCACCTGCTCCCCGCCTCTCCCCACCAGCCCGTGGGGAAATACAATGTTGATTTGTCCCTCAAAGAAATCCAGTTTGACATCCCTGATCTAAGTCATTTTAGGATAGATTATTGTTGTTCAATTTTTTCCTTAAAACATTTAAGGAAATACTGCCATGGAATGGGACTAAGTCACAACCTATTCTATCATTTCTAAGTACAAAATATACAAATAGCCCTCTATCTCAAGTAGTCAAGGAACACTTTTAGATAGAAGTTCACGTAACTGAATTGTGTCCACTCAATATTGCACCTGGGAAGTCCTCCTTAGCTACATTTTTTAAAAATTTTTATTACATTATATTGGGTTTCTTTGGCAGTGTGACTGAGAAGCTCTTAATGTAGCATCTTTTCTCTTAACTGCTGCTGCTATTTTTATATCCTGTCAGGGGAAGATCCTGCTATCAGTCCCCACCTGGTACAGCATGATCCTATCCCTGTACTCCTTCCTGGAAGCCTTACAACTTGGAAATCTGGCTCTTTCGCCATTCCACGTGAAACTCCTCCCCGTATTCGTGCCCCCAGATCTCTTGGTGAGTGTTGATATTGTGTATGTGTGACTGTCCATGTGGTAGGGTGTGGCTGTTAAGCTTTCCTATTCAGGAACTCAGTTGCTACTGACTTCTCAAATAACAATTCTAAATTCTATTGCTAAATTCTATTGCAAGCAGAATAGCTTCCAGTTGGTCAACTCTCATTAACAATACAGAATTATATACTTACATATTCAAATAATTCTATCTATTCCCTGCATTTTTATTTTGTCAATCCAAGACCAGGTTTTCCTTTGTTACTCTCCAAGTTTGGAAGTATCCTTATATTGTCAACATTCTGACAATATAAATAGACAGAGCACTGTCCCCAACATGGGAAACAACCTCTCTGTGACAATAGTTAATTGCAGCATCCATGTATGTATGAACATGTACTATTTAAGTATGTTAGTGGAAAAAGGAAGGTTGACAAAAGATGAAGATTGTGTGAATATATTCACACAATCTTCATCTTTTGTCAACCTTCCTTTTATAAACCATCCTTCTCACATGAAGATGATTAAGGTTCAGACTTAAGTTTTTTAAAAAATGTTTTCTTTTTCATGCAGGTCTTTTATTTATGTCTGGTTACTGTATCACATCCCACTTCTAATAATCTCTTAGGGATTTTCTTAATCTGGCACAATTACAAATGCTACATTTTGGATTTTTTTACTCATAAAAGTTGTTTTATTATATAAAATTAGTTCTTTCTATTCCTAATTTTAATGTTAATTCTATGCTTGGTTCTAATTTCATACTTAAATTCTTCCTACCTATCCTTTTCCCATTAGTTTTCTCATTAGTACAAGTCGGGGTAAAATGTAAAATTTGTTACTACCGGTTCTGTGGGCGTGGCTTGGTGGGGGGTAATGTGACTGGGTAGGTGTGGCCAACTTTTTTTTTTTTTTAAACTTTTCAAAGCATTTTTTCTAATGCTTTGAAAACCCTCTCTGCCGATCAGGGAACTCAGCTGGGATTGTCAGAGACTTTTCAAAGCATTTTGTTTACCAACTCTTCAGCCAAGAGGTTGCAGAAAAAAATGCTTTGAAAAGCCTCTGATGATCCCAGCTGAGCCGTGCGATCATCAGAGGCCTTTTTTTTTAACTTTTAAAAGCATTTTTTCATTGGAAGAGGTTGTAGAAAAAATGCTTTGAAAAGTAAAAAAAAAAAAGCCTCTGATGATCGTGCGGCTCAGCTGGGCATGGGGGGGTGTGCAGGGTTTTTTGCTACCAGTTCTCCGAATCACCCGCCGCCATCGCTACCGGATCGGGTGATCCGGTCCGAACTGGGAGCATTTCATCTCTGGTACAAGTTTACAACTATTTCTATCTTCCTTAATCTTTGAATTTCTGTCTCCATGTCTATATGTTTGTAGCACTGTGTTCCTCTCAACTTTTTCCTAGCTCTTTGAGTGGTTCCTTGTTCCCCAGGTCTTCATCTCTTGTAGCCAGCTAAGCCATTTGCATGAAAACCTTTTTCATTCCTTTATAGACTGATGAATGGGGCTTTTTCCTCCTCCCTGCCCCACATTCACAGGGCATCTTCCTGGGTTGGTTTGTGTTCTGTGCCTGGGCTGTTTGTTTGGGTGGCTTCTTTTGCAAACCCTAGTTATGCTCTTCTCCCACCTCTGCTTCTTGCTTTTACGTTGGAGGCTCCTTGCTCACTTCTCTCCTGTCTTTTGGCTTGACTCCTTTTTCACCAACCTATACCCATGCAGTACTTGATTTCTGGTCCATTTTATGGGACATGCTCTTCAGTTAAGAAGAAAGTGGGGCTGTTTTAACTTTCTTTCCCAGGCATCCCCATAGCTTAGGATCCTAGAAGGGAAAGAGTAATGTGGCGAGTTCACCCGTTCATATCACTTCTTCATATGCCTATTTTGCCTTAAATCAACCATCCTGTATCTCCCCCCCCCCAAAAAAAAATACTGCCTTGTGAAGAGAACCACAAAGATGACCTTGGAAAAGAAATGCAGGATTTAGCAAAAAATAAGTCCAGAATAGAAAGGAGACATTAAAGTGCCTCCATCCTGATACTCTTTGTATAATGTGGAGGAAAGTAAAAACTTTCAAGATTATAATAATCCTATAATCTATATTAATAGAACTGATTTCCAATATTTCTTGTGGAGTCTGTTTCCAGATCTAGCCTACATCTGACAACCTTCAGAAGGCCACACATTTCAGCCCTGGTGAAGACATTACAGGTAGTCCTCGAGTTACTACCACAATTGAGCCCAAAATTTATGTTGCTAAGGGAAACATTTGTTAAGTGAGTTGGCCCCATTTTTCGACTTTTCTTGCCACCGTTGTTAAGTGAATAATTGCATTTGTTAAGTTAGTAACAAATTTATTGTTAAGTGAATCTGGCTTCCCCATTGACTTTGCTTGTTAGGTCACAAACGCGGATCATGTCCTCAGGACCCTGCAACTGTCAAAAATATGAACCAGTTGCCAAGTATCTGATCATGTGACCATGGGGATGCTGCAACGGTCGTAAGTGTGAAAAATGGTCCTAAGTCATTTTTTCAGTGCCGTTGTAACTTTGAACAGTCACTAAATGAATTGTTATAAGGACTACCTGTACATTACTGCCATGTTTTTGTAACCTTTGGAGATATGAAACATAAAATCATTGCATCAGACTAGAGCAATATAGACTGTGCTTGTCCAAATTATTATACTTATAAAGGCTTTCTTCCTTCTTGGATTTGGATGGCTTTAGAAAATAAAACTGATATGGTATTTTAGGAATACTCTGTGTATTTTGTTTACTTTGATCTTGTCGTGATGCAATTCTGCAGTTGTATTTATTTCTGCAATCTGAGTATTAAATTGTGTCTTAATTGCCAATACCTTTTCTCCTCGTCATGAGATTTATGTAGGGCCTCTTGCTTTCAGAATTTTGAACCAAGAGAATTCCTGTGAATATTGCCATCATATGTCTCTTGGAATCGCCTTGGATCGCTCTGATCCCATGTTTCTTATAAAATAATTTTTCTGTGGAGAGGACTTAACAAACACACTCCTTTGGATTTATATAGCAGTGTGTTAGAGGACTTTTCTCCTTAGATCATTTCTGATTTTGTAGGTACACTGGAATTGTCATGTTGTAACAGAAACACAAGTAGTCCTTGACTTAAAACGACAATTGAGACCGGAAGCTCCGTCGTTAAACAATATAGTTAAGTGAATTATGCCTGATTTTACAACCATTTTTGCCACAGTTGTTAAGTGAATATGAATTCCCCCGTTGACTTTGCTTGTCAGAAGCTGGTTGGGAATGTCACAAATGTTGATCACGTGATACCCCCCCCCCGCCCCTGGATGCTGCAACTGTTGTAAAAGCAAGCTGGTTGCCAAGTGCTTGGAGTGTGTTCACATTGCTATGGGGACACTACAGCACTCATAAGTGCGAGAACTAGTCATAAATCACTCTTTTTGGTCAGTTAACCTTGGGGACAATACCAGAAGACCAACTGTTGGTCCAAATGATTACGGTCTACTGTATACTTAGAATAGTGCAGCTCAACATCAATTGCCACTAGCAGAAACACTACTTCTGTTTCTACTTCATGACTCCTAGATGTGTGCAAGATTTTCCTACAATAGCAAATACAGAAGCAGCAACATCAGAGCTAGGCTTTGTGTCCAGGCTTGCCAGTAAATCTTAGATTTGCAGTCATTTGGTTCTGAATTAAAGTCTTCTTTATATTTGGGAGAAGGTTCCTAGCCACTATTTGGCTACATTGCATTATTATTCACCCCAGTGCAAAGAGGTCAGAGGCTTTCTATATCTGTGCTCTAGGATTTAAAATCTAGGTTTCTTCTTTCCACTTTTATGAATGAAAACTCAATGGGATTGTGTAATAGCCTTTGGACTAAGACAAAATGGCTTTCAGGTCTGGAAAACACTAGAACCCATCCTGCCAACCTCAATACAGTATTTATACTTTCAACTTTTACAACCATTAAACTGAATTAACAGGATTACCTCGACAGATAATTAAAAATGTAGGTTCAAATTTAAAAAACAAAATAAATCCCGATATAACAATCATAATGACTTAGTTTGGCTCTACATATACATATACATATACATATACATATACATATACATATACATATACATATACATATTACAAACTATTCTAAAAATACGAGTTCTAGGTATATTAATAAAAAAAGAAGCAGACATACTGCAAACTCCGGGATTTTAAAATTTTAAAAGAATTAAAATTTTATTATACTAAGCTTTCGTCAGCCATCTGCTGACATCGTCAGAGTATTAAACTACCATTACAGAGATCTCTGCCTTTATATGCTGTTAATCAATTTAGCCCTTGCGCGTGTAATAGGCCCTTTCAGCCGTCTCCCACTTGTAATCAACTCTGTTGTTTTTGCTGTCGTCATGCTGGATGATGGAGGCTTGATTCCTACTGTTTCCTCCCTCCTAGCTTGCTTATCAGTGGGGGGTGATGTTAGCCTGTCAACTGTAGTAATTGTGCAAGCAATTACATAGGGGAAACGGCCAAGCGGTTACAGACCAGACTACATGAACACGAACTGGCTGTCTGATGCAAGGAACAGCGCTCCCAGATCTGGACGCATATGAAGGAGCACAACCACACATTTGATTTTCAAGAGGCTGAGGTTATTGCCCATGATAAGACTAAAGGAGGACACCTACTAAAAGAAGCCTGGTTCTCCAATAACAATTCTATCAACAGGTATATCGAACTGCCACCAGCCTACCAGGCTTTGAGACACCAGGAAAGACCCTGCAGGAGGAGCAGAGATGGATTTCCATCAGTGAACAGAGACCAAAGGCACCCACCCCCCACCTCTGGGCATGATGACTGAGCCTGTGAAGGCACAGTTAGTCCTGACCAAACACAGAGCAACCCGACAGGACTGTCTCAAACTGCAACAGATAGGATTAATGGGAAACAAACTTGGCTAACCACG